CAAAATTTTGGTTGCTAAGCAAGAGTGGTAAGTGAGTTTCACCACATTTTCCAAGTTGGCCACACCCACCCGGACAAAAGACTGCCAAGCCACTCCTACCCAGTCACATGACTGACGAGCCACTCCCACAAAACAGGCCACACCCACAGAATAGGTTCTAAAAAAATTTGAAACACACCATTGAGATACAGTATCTATATCTATATATCTATATCTATCTATCTATGTATACATACATACATAGACACACACACATATATACACAAATACAAATACAATAGCAGAGTTGGAAGGGACCTTGGAGGTCTTCTAGTCCAACTTCCCTGTTCAGGCAGGAAACCCTACACCACTTCAGACAAATGGCTATCCAGCATCTTCTTAAAGACTTCCAGCGTTGGAGCATTCACAACTTCTGGAGGCAACTTCTGTTCCACCAATTAACTATTCTAACTGTCAGGAAATTTCTCCTCAGTTCTAAGTTGCTTCTCTCCTTGATTAGTTTCCACCCATTGCTTCTTGTCCTGCCCTCAGGTGCTGCAGATTTTGCAAGCTGGAAGTGGGGAGGCAAATGCAAATAGGGAAACCAGGGAAGAAAAATAACAAGAAAAATAAACATTCCACCCAAAAGGCCCAAGAAACAAAACAGGCAAAAATCTAACATGCAAAAAAAAAATGCACAGGGAAGAAATACAGAACGTACTCGACGTACGACCACAAGAGAGCCCAAAATTCCCACTAAGTAAGGCTAAACGGGTTTTGACCCACGTTACGATTTTTCTCAGCACCGTTGTTAAGGGAATCGCTGCATTTGTTAAGTTAAAAGGGAATCTTTTGCTTGTCCGAAGGTCGCAAAACGGGATCACGTCAAACGTCCGGATCTTGATCACGTGACCATGGGGAAGCTGCGATGATTGTGTGAAAATAGCTATAAGACACTTTTTCAGTGCCGTTGTAACTTTGGATGGTCATTAAATGAATGGTTGTAAGTCAGGGACTGCCTGTAACGTGGGGGGGGGAGAATGGTCACTAAAAGCATGCAAGAAACTACTCAAAGCAAGAAAAAAATAAGATGGGATGGAATGAGATGGAATAGAATATAGAAGAGAAGAAAACAATACAGAATAGAATAAATAACAGCATAGAATGTAGAATAGAATAGAACATATAAAATAATATAGAACAACATAGCATAAAAATAGAATAGAATGGAATAACAGCATAGAATAAATAATAGCATAGAATATAGAATATAGAATAGAATAGAATAGAATAGAACAAAATATAGAAAATAATATAACTAGAATAGCAGCATAGGGAATAGAATAGAATAGAATAGAATAGAACAAAATATAGAAAATAATATAACTAGAATAGCAGCATAGGGAATAGAATAGAATAGAATAGAATAGAACAAAATATAGAAAATAATATAACTAGAATAGCAGCATAGGGAATAGAATAGAATAGAATAGAA